ATATATGTTTTGATTAGCCATTGGAAGATGATTTTCATAAGCAAGAAAAACTCTCTCAAAAGCTGGCTGAAAATGTAACAAATTATATTTTCTTCAATAAATGTTATTTTTCACTAAATTCCGATAGACAACTTATGCTCTAAGTAATTAATTGTTAATTATCTAGTTTGTGATTGGTCTTGTCAAGTATAACAATTATTGGACTGCAATTAGCTATCCGTTGTTAACTAATTATCTGCTAAACACATTAATAGAATCGACTAATACAATTACTAGTCAAAATCTATTAATAACCTCAATTGCATGCTAATACAATTAGCTTTTAAGGAAATGCTACAGTCATTCAGGGGCGAAACTATGTGGTAGGTTGGAGAGGCGCCGGCCCTTTAAAAAAAAAAATTTGAACCAGGAGTGGGAGGTTTTGCTGGAACTGGAAGGGTGCCCTTTGAGCGTTCTTCCGATGCCGGAGTGAGGGTAGTGCGCCGTGGGATGGATGGAGGGGTGCCACCAGAAATCCAGAATCCGAAAACACAGAGCAGCTGAGCAGGGAGGCATGGAGCCATGGAGGGGAAGCTGGATCGAAATCCGAAAATAATAATATTATCTTGTAATATGTAATTTGAACGATAATTTAAATAGTTTGCATTTATTTTTGTGTTTGTGTTTGGTTTTGTCGTGAAAATTTTTTTTAAAAGCAAATTGGGCCCTCCTCGTAACGAGATCCTGGTTTCGCCACTACAGCGGAATCATTCCGTCAGAATTTGTAACCGTTAGATCATCATGTAACTGTCGGGAATAGTTGATTTAACGATTACAAATCCTAATAGAATGGTTTCGTGACGGAACCATATCATCTCCCTAGTTTTTAACCCTAGAAATTAGGTGTTTATTATCTATCTCCCATAGGCAGCGCGGGTACACACTGCTGAGCTGCGTAGTGTATAGTATTTATTAGTTGCACCCAAAGTTAGAGGCAATGGAGCCTTATTACAAAAGGCCTTATAAATTATAATTAGGCCCTTTGGACAAACAATATTCTATAAATATGTACAATTCAACCCCTCCATTTTTTCACCTTTCATCAAACCTTACAACAAACATATTCACACTTTTCCCTTTCTCATTTTCACTTTGTTCCACCAAAGGGAAAC